CTCTCTCTCTCTCTCTCTCTCTCTCTCTGGCTCTCTCTCGCCCCCTCAATCTCTCTCTCTCTCTCTCGCCCCCTCCCCGCCGCCTTTGTTTCCTCCTCGCCCATAAAAAAGGATGTCCTGCAGCTGTTCTGAGACAGCTTTGACCCTAGTACCAATGAGTCTACACACCATTGTGGGGACAGGTTTACAGCTGTAGAGGCACCTGTCAGTCCCCCACATTAAGAAATGTCCTTTCAGTACTGCCCTTGCACTCTTCGTTCTCCCTTCTTGTACAGCTGGATCATCTATGGTGCCACGGGTCTGGCTCTTGCTGCAATTTTCACAATGTTAGAATGTGAACCAGACAGTACCCATGTCCAGTAGCAACAGAAACAATATCCACCACACCTTTGAATCTTGTCCAAAGTGCATGTACAGGCAATAAAAATACAAAAATCTGATAATTTGTTAAAACCTTACGAAGATGTCAAAGCTAAAACTCCCTCTCTAACTGTTGGTCAACAAATATGTGCTAAATTCAGCCTTGCAGCACAGCCAAACGTTCATAATGAGATTATTTTGGAATGTATCACCAACAGAAGCAGATGATCAAACATTTGCTTCTGCAGTTAAGGTAGAGCAAAGAAGCATAATAGCCGATAACACAACTGGGGCATACATACTAAACAGGTCACCTCAAGACTTTCCCATCTTCATAGTCGCATTCAAATTGCTCAGGCTCTATTTTATCCCATGTCCTCAACCCCAAAAGTGAAAACAGTGCAAACAGGGACCACTGGTATGGTGACAAATCTGCCAAAGATTTTTAATATTTAACATAACCAACCCTGAATTCCAATGGCATCACCTTTGCTGTTCATAAAAGTTTTGAATCATGAAAGCTGTACTTTCAGAATAACGTTTCCACCCCCAATCCCTACCTGTTTATAAGTGTGCATCTTAATGTTTATTGGATTGAAACAATATCATTTGAATGTGATAACAATTTGAAAATTGCCTACTTGACAAGAGTTCTTTAAGGAATAAAAGATAATTATCAGGTTACTGCTGTTTTAAAAAGTGTCCCTTTTAGATGCGAGATGGACGCTAGAGAGTGTGCAGCTGGGAATTTCTCTGTTTCAGACTGATTTCACTGGGGATTTATATGAGAAACTGTAGGTTAGCTTTTTCCAGCTTTAAATGCGGGATTGAGTATAGCACCGCTTTATCTAGTACACTTCTTTGCTGGTTGGATGGTGTGTGTGTGTGTGTGTGTGTGTGTGTGTTTGGAGTGGTGGGGGGTGCAGAGAGAGAGAAAACGGATAGTAGGTTGGCGGTATGTGAGGAGGCGTGGAGAATTGCCTTGTTAAACCATCAGCTGAGGGGCCCACAGGAAATGAACTCTCCATCCTCCAGTTAATATTGACCTCCTGGCTTCTGTCCAAGTTGTGCTGCAGTTGAATAGCAAAGCAGCACAGTTTTGCCATTCAGTACTCGGTCGATTCCTACAGCGTATGGCAGCTTTGAGACAAATGTTACTGGAGAAAACTGCTGTTTCTTCCATCGTCGAGAAATTACTTGAGTCATAAGCAGTGAACATGCAAACCAAGCTCTACTTTTATAATTCCAAGTAAACAGAAAATGTTGGGATGTAGAATTGTGCCCCTGAAAAAAGTGGCAGTTTTCCCATGTCATGGGAAGTTGAAAAAGTTTTACTCCAGGGAGAGTGGAATGGATAATTTGAAGTTCTGGACTTGCTTAAAGAAAGAACATTATAAATTTGATAACTGAGAAAGTAAGGGGAACAGAACAAGGCTCAAGCATGCGTCGCTTTGACAAGCTGAAGAAATCCTTTCCGTTTTTGGCACGTTTTCATGTTTATAAAGTAAGTTGGGTGGTTTAATTTTTATTTTTAAAATGCCATTGCTTGTTAAAGAACAGCAGTTGATGACAGGCCTGGATCAGAAGGAATGGAAATGTGCTATTTTTTTCTGAGATTAAGTATCAAAGAATTCACCTATGCTAAACATGCACCTGATGTGAATAAATATGCGTGCACAGACAGCGTGTGAAGCTCTTCAGTATCCCATATCTATATTGTTATAGCGATGTCATAGTTAAGACACCACTGCAATGTGTGTATGCCCCTTTTTGCTTGGTAAGGAGCTTGGCACATTTAGCAATGCAGTTCTCTCTGATCGCCAATACAAGTAGAAGATGGTTTTCTCGGTTTTATAGTTACACTGACATTTTTATTTATGTTAGCAGTTAGAGGGAACTTTATCCCTTTGTTTCCTAGAAGTTCTTTTAAGCAGCAACATTCTATGGGTTAGTTCAGTAGTTAATAAAAAGAATAACCAAAAACATACGTGACTTTTCAAGTGTATTTTTCTAAAGTGGTTTCCTAGTTGGTCCAGAATTGATTTTTCCTCGGTTGAAGATAATTTCTTTAAAAGCCTTTTGAAATTTTTACGATGTGAACTTTCCTTGTAAGGATGATCAACTAGAGAAGAGCTGCTCTCATGGGTCCTGGAATACAGATTAGATACGAAAACATTCTGCAACCAATGAATTGGTCTGATCATGTTTCGATTGTTATCTCTTGGGATGACCTTGTTCCGGATGAAATGAGAAAAAGCTGTAAATGCTGGAACCTGAAAAAATGGCACAAAATGCAGGAAATATACAAGGCTGTTTTCTTTGAAAACAAAAAGACCGCTAAATATTTTGTTTGCGACATTTATCCAGACACACGCACACCTGAAGCATTTGCTTGTCTTCCCCTTTCTGATGCTGATGGACTTCTTAGGACTTTGCAGGTTTTACTTAGGAGCCCCAGATTTATTTATCTCCCCTGCTGAATTTTACTGTCCGTCCTCCAGCATGTTGGCCAGGAGGGGGTTTTATCCTGTCCTCACCCAACCTCCACACATACTTTGTAACAGTAGTCATTGTATAATCAGAAATAGGACCCCTGCCTAATTTTAATCTTTCTCTCGCTAATACTAACGTAAATTGTTTCTATCAATGGTGTTAGCAAACTACCGCATGTGCCCCCAGTAAATATTGCAAAGTTGCGAGAATTATCTGCCTTATTGTCCAACCCTGGATTGGAAATCGCTTGCAAGTGGGCCACATGTTTCCAGTGCACTGAGACCAAGGAAGTATCAATCTTCCAAAAAGTAAGTCCTAATTTAACTTTGGCTGTGGAAGTCAGAAAGTAGAAGGATAGTGCGGAAGGCAGACAAATACATTTTGTGTGAAATATTCTCCCACGTTTATTTATTGGGTTAAAACAGTTATGTACTAATTGATTTTAAAAAGCAAATTCTGTGTGCTCAGCCAGGAAAATGCACAGTGAATGAGACTAAAAACAAACATGTACATGTATCTGTCAATTAAAATATTGTGTTTTCATTCCTCCTAGCAGTGCAGTCTAGCAGGCCTAGAGGAGATCTACTTGATGAGGACTTCCCACTCTCTGAAAATATTACTGATTTGAATATGCTCTAGAATAACTTTCATTGCGATGGTGGTTATTGCTATCTCTGTAATCTCATCTGGCACCTTCAGAGCATTACTAATTTTAACTGTTCTGCTATTAATGACTGCCTTCAACTTCCAATGCCTTAAAGCTCAGGAATTCTCATTCTAAATGTTTCCATCTCTCTTTTCTCATTTAAGGTGCTCTTAAGCCTACATCAATGACCAAGGCTTCAGTAATTTGCTTTAATATCTCTTTTATGATGCTATCTATCATATTGTTTGATAGTGCTCCTGTGGAGCATCTGATAGTAAGTTAAAGGTGTTATAATGCACTCAAGTCATTGTTGCTTTGAACCATCCTGTGAATCAATCTGAAGTTATCTGAACCCAGTGCAAGCTATGTTACAGTTATCTTCCTAATAGTTTATGGGATTAGCTAAATCATTGGCAGATGAAGACATCAGTAAGATCATATGATATAACTGCACTAACATCTGGGATGCAGATGGTGTGGGTGGTGATTTAGCATAATAAATTGAAAGGAAAGTAAGACAGCAAGGAAAAGATTTGGAGGAAGTCCTACTGTAAAACACAGGTGTGGAGCAGATGGGAGAAAATGTATATGGAGAAGAACAGCTCTGAGGCAGCCAGTGAGCTGGAAGGGTATAAGGATAGCAAGAAATAGAAAAGTTTATAAGCTGTTGAATCTGCTTGGATTTAAGAGGGGTTTTTTGTTGTTTTTATGTTGTTAATTTCATTTATGAGGAATCGGACACCTGATTGCTTCTCATTCACACAGGCCTGTGAAAGGATTACAGTGAAAATTAAAGACCCAGGAACACAACTTAACATGACCAGTATTGAAGCCTCAATGAAGTTTGTAGATGGAGTCCCAAAATATGCACATGGTTGCCTGTTATTCTTAATAATTGCACTAAATTTTGATAAACTTAGGTGTGGCTTGGATTTAATTCTATTTTGTCATGTTAATGGTGTGTCACATCTGGACCAGGCAAGTTTAAGCAGAAGGCTACTTTAAACATGGCAAGTATATGTTGAATATTGAAAAGTGGAAGAATAGGAAATGGTGTTAAGGCCTCATCTGTTTAAATCAATAACTATAATATACCCCTTAGAATTGATCATTTTTATTGAAAAGGGTATCACATTATGTCAGAATATTAACATTTTGTTTGGTCTGTTTTGATGCAAAAACTCTACTGGCTTTCTCTGGATGACCTGTCTTTTGTTGAGGCTACGCTATTGTTTTTCAAATTGTGTTGATGAAATTCTTGTATCTTGCCAACTGGTGTGATGGATCTCCAAATTCCTGTGGAGAGAGTCAGTGGTGCTGTACAGCTTACACCCCAGCGCTTTCACATCACTCACATCTTAATTAAATACTGAAAATATTGCTTTCTGTGTACAGTTTTGAGCAGTCAAACTTTTAAACGTGAAGGAGGTAGATCCCTTTATTCTGAACTTTCTGCCCTATATGATTTTTCCCTTGCAACCTCACCCCTCAAATACATGTCCACCACAATGTGACATTTCATTTCCTGTATATTGTATGCTCAGGATCTGCCCAGGCAAAATTGTCAAACTTATACTATTTGCACTACACTTAAGAGTTTTGTGCAGTGGAATGCTCACTTTGGAATGGTAACAAACCTACAAACTATGGCCAGATTTGTAACTATGTCTTGCATGAATGGCAGATTTATTTGAAACTCTACTGTTTCTGTTTTTCTGCTAGACTGCACTGCGAGGAGGAATGAAACGCAATATTTTAATTGACACATACATTTATGTGAGAGATAGTAGGAACTGCAGATGCTGGAGAATCTGAGATAATAAGGTGTAGAGCTGGATGCATACGTGTGTGTGTGTGTGTGTGTTTTTAGTCTCATTCACTGTGCGTTTTCCTGGCTGAGCACACAGGCCTTTCCCACAGCATTGATGTTACACGTTTTCTTCAGTCAGTAACATTGTGGCTTAGCAACAGGTAACACCAAATACACTGAGCTTTCAAGCAGCCGTGGGTTGGGGTGCATTGGTTTGGGGACATAGGAGATGTGTGACATAGGAGATCAGCTGATCCAGCTAGCCTATCCCATACTCAAGATGGCTTTAGCGTCATGACTGGCCAATTTCTCCCTGTGAACATGTAATCTTCTGCAGGAAAAGAAGTATATAAAAGATAAAAATAAAGAAAAAAAAAATCTTGAAAATTCTCCCTGATCCTTTCATGTGAACATGTGATGCAATCTCTAGATTTGCCTTTTATTTCAGAACAGAAGAATAACAGATATCTGTTCTGCGTGTTTAAAACACAGTTTAAAAATTGTGGTTGAGTGCGCCAGTAGCCAATGATGTTGTATTTTGTTAACCGGCTGCATAATCAAAAATATTTAGGTAGAGGAGGCGTTGAATCGTTTACTTCAAGAGATGATTGCTTGTGACCACTCTGTTTCCTGCTCAGCGGACTGTAATTGGCACAGTTTTTTTTGTGTACGTTTTTTGTGTGGAATCTGACGTTTGCAAATAAAAAAAAAAATTGCTTTCCTCTCTCAAAATCAAATTCATTTGTCTGGTGTGAAATGTGCCACATAGAACACAGCTTCTGAAAGCCATTTACAGAACAGTGATAGCTCTGTGCTGTTGGAGAGAAAACACTCAACTCCCAGCTGCTTCATTCATACTTCAAGATGGCCTGTACAAAAGTGGATTATGTTATGCAAATTCAGTCGTTTTATAAGCTGAATTATAGAGAAAGCTGCAATCCTGATGCTTGGACGTCTTGCAAACTAATTTCGTTTAGAGGTCTATGTTGAGCTATCTTCTGTGACTAAAGCTAGTGCTATATTGCTTAAGTGGAACCTTTAATTAATTAGTGCATATGGGTTTTAGTAGCTCTTTTGAATCACTATTGTGTTCTAAGTAATTGTTTTATTTAATGTACAATTGCTAACTGTATTTGAACCCTGCATTGGAAGTTATTGCTTCAAAAGATTGCAGCTGACAGTGTATTATCGGGTAAGGAAATTGCACATTTGACTTTTGACTGGTTTGGATAGGCTATTTGTTACATAATTTCAAAAGTGCTGTCAGTTTTGTTGAACATGTCCCTTGTACACCATTAATTTGAATTATAGAAAGCTTTTCTGAGGGCTTAATTCCATAACTTCTTATGTTATCAGATGATTTCAGACATTGTATTTTTATTTTTCTCAGGATTGCCTTTTGTAATTGGGTGAGATAGCAGCAAAAAATACAGCGAAAATTGGCTGCGGTGGTTACTGCTGTCTTCTGCATTGAACTTCATTTCTCTTCTGCACTGCAACACCCGAAAGCTCTGCTGCTAGCTTCCTGTTTCCCACCTACTAAATATAAATATTG